AAAAACGTTTGTACACCGATAAGCACATCCTGTACCTGGTATGTAATCAACACACACACAAATGCTCCGTCTTCTCAGCTCAAAGCCCCCCTGACACCACTTAGAAACCCATCACACTCTCGCACATATGCACACACATAGAACTGCAAGGTGGAAGAAGATGCTGTTTGGAAAGGTATTTATTCTCTCTGGAAATTCCCATTTTAATTTCATTTTTTCCATCCTCAATATTATATTTATTTATATATATATATATTTAATATTCTTCAACAGAGAAACACAGGGGTCTCCTTGATAATTTAATAACACAATGTGGCTGCCGGTGATGATCCACTGCCACTCCAGCCTCGTGTTCTCCGCTGTGCTAGCTTTACATGCTGAGTCCATCAGCAGCATGCATCTGTGGAGCATGTACTTGTGAACGTACATAACTGCAATACAAAATTAATATTTAATGATACATTTTCTTTGTTATTGACTTTGCCTTCAAGACATGTTTATCAGGCCATGTTTCATCCAAAGAATCAATGGTTTATTTTTTCTTGCTAATGTACACCTTTCGGGAAGTTCAGCATCAAAATTAAGATGGCTTGTAAAGTACAGCTACAAAGTATTTGTTACAGTCTAACAATCATAAATGAGTTAGAACCGTGTTTTCAATTTGCTTTTAAAACACTCTCTTCCTAACAACTCTAAATTATAGTGGAGATTTGTCTGCTGTAGAACAGAAAGCTTTACTGTTTCTGAAAACACTTAAATTATTTGAACTTTTTCTGTCTGGTTAGCAGATGGCTTTAAACACTGCAACACCCGTGAGCCTCAGCTGACGTTGCTGTGGAGAAGAACACAGTCAGAGGCACAAAACAGCAACTCCAGCAAACTGTAGGAAATTCAAAATGCCCCTTTGTTACAAGTAGGAACAAAACACTGCGATATAGTTGCTGAATTCATCAAACATTTACCCAGAATCTGAATGAAAACTGTGATGTGTTTCATTAGTTTTCTAGAAATGCACAAATTCACACACAATTCAGTCTTTCACTTGCAAAAATGTAAGCTTGTCACTGGATGTTTCTTACCAAAGTTCTCCTCAGGAATCACAAATAACTCTACTCTTTAAGTTTGTATGTACACAGGCTTGTACTTTTAACCTTTTCATCAGAGAACCAGATATTATTATTGAATTGAAAACCATTTTACTTTACTTTACTAGATAGGGACAGCAGAGAGATGTCAGCAAACAAGGGAGATAGAGATTCAACAACCAGCCAGACTCAACCAGGAAACCAATGCGGTTGCTCATCTTTTGCAGTTCAACCAGGAGACTTTCATTCCACGTCCGTGCCTTTTGCCGACTGGATTTGTATTTTTGGCTTTTAAATAAAAGCAGGGAATGAGGAGAGGAGAATGTCAGAAGTTGTGAACTCTAATGCTTAGATGTTTAGAGTTTCATGTCCATCCAAGCCTTGGAAGTGCTCCAAATGTCAGTCATCTAACATGCTCTTTAAAAAAATGAAAAGGACTATGCAACTATATTCCTCTACCCTACCGTACACACACACATACACACACCCTTCATCCATTAATCCAGTTTATCTCAATAGTAAGAAATTCATTACATCCCTTCACCAACGAAACAAAAGCCAAACAGCAGACTGTGACCTATTGGCAGACTATTTATGTGGCCTGCATCGCAGGCTAAACAGCGCAAAGCACATGTACAGTTTTCAGGGGCCTCCTGATCGATGCACCCCCGTAACTAGATATCATATTGTTTTTGAAAATCCATCACACCTGTGCTCGCAAGCAATATACATTGTTTATAATGAAAAAAAAAGAAAGATAGAAAAGCCTGGAGTCAGAAAAGATTAGAAATGGGTGAGATGTAAGAGAGAAAGCCGAAGAGGAACAAGAGTGAGGGAAAGAAGGGAGATTGAGGAGAGATGAGGGGAAGAGAATTAAGGAGACTGATAGTTGAGCACAGGGTCCAGGGGGCATGGATAAGCGTGTGTTTGTGTGTGTGTGTGTGTGACCGTATGCCTCACACACACCTACACACACACACCCACACAGAGAGGGTAGCTCATGAAGACAAATGTAGTGACCTTGCTTAGTGATAAGGCATGAAGATAAAGTAGTGTTGGATGAAATAACTGAAAAATATCAAGAGAAACAGAAATATGTGTGTGTGTGTGGGAGTGCAATGGAGATAGACAGGTGAATGGACAGATGGGGAGATGGAGAGACAGGGAGAGAAGAGTGAGACAAAAAAAAGACAGAGATGAAGAGATAAACAGACACAGATGTGGCTCAATACTGAGAAAGGCAAATAAACAATAATATATGAAAACAGACAGTGACCATAACACACTATTAAACTACACACACACACACACACACACACACACACACAATATTTGGACTTTCCCACATA